TACTGAGTAGAAACATCTTTAAGTTTTGGCAGTGGGTAGCTGTGATCCTGACTATTCCTGATTACCCTTTCAGAACATGCTGAACTTTCAACAAAGAAGCAAACATTTGTTGGCTTTATTGGAAGGACTAAGTGAAGTGGGAGTGCAAAGAAACAGAGCTTTCTCCATTGGATTGTTTTACTTGTAGAGCTCACCATCAAACTATTAAACGGCTCCATACCTACAAAGAAGTTAGCTATGATCAAGAAAGTAAAAGATATCATTAATCAACAAACTTTTATACAGTTAAGTAAATTACAAATATGGATGCTTGAGACTTGCAGCCTGAAAAAACATGGAAGGCAATTCACTAACACCTCCCAAATCAAGCAACCAAAAGCCACAGGCGATACTCAAAAGGAGCGTATTACAGTTTTACCCTGTTGGCAATACGCTCCCAGCCCCGTCAGCAAAACTCGCACTCAGCTCCCAGGTCTTCTTTCCTCTTAATTGTAACAGCACCTGGGGAAGGCGAAGGAACACCAACACCGCAGAGCCTTCCCACCACCCAAGGCACAGCAGCGCTCATGCCGACCCGGCCCGAGCGTTACTTACAGCGCTGCTTGGGCACTATGAGCTTCATGGGTGCGTCCGGGAGGCGGCAGCGACCGGCAGGACCCTGGGCACCACCCGACGCGATGCTCGGCGCTAGCACGAAGCTGCTGCCGCCCGCCCGCTTTCGTGCCGGACCGCCGCTCCCCGCCTGCCACCGCCCCATTGGCGCAGGGCGGGCCCGGCCCACGCGGAAGCGGGGCCGTGCCCGGCAGCCGCCGCCGCATTGGACGGCACCAGGGACCCTCGCTCCGCCCGCCCGGTCCGCGGAGGAGGGAGGAGAAACGCCTGCGGCGCGATCAGCCGGGTGGCATCCAGCCCCGGCCGGGCTGCGCTCTGGGCGGAGAGAGGGGAGAGAGCCGCAGGACCCGCGGCCGCCTGACACTGGGCCGATACAGGGGCCCGCTGGGCCGGTCTGCGGCAGCGCCGCACGGAGGGGGCCGGGGCGCCACGCTCGTCACTTACGTGGCCTGTGCCGGCGTCCCGAGTCCATCCTCCTGCGTAGCCTGCATTTCTTGGCCGGGGGGGGAGCCGTGCCTGAGCGGCGGTAGCTCCGGCGGCAGTGGCAGCGTGTGCGAGGCCTCTCCGCAGCCGCCGCTGCTCAGGGGCTGGCTCGAGGGGTGGAAGCCGTTCTGCAGCAGCCCGCCGAGCAGCGAGCAGGAGGAGGCGGTGGGCGGTGGCGGTCCCGCCGGGGCAGCGGGCTGTGCGCGGAGCTGCTCTCCCATGGCGGCAGCCTCTCCCCTTTGTCTCCCGGCTCAGCTCCGCTTGGGCGCGGCAGGGCCTCTGCTCATACCGACACCGCCGCCTGCGCCCGCAACTCCCTGCGCTGGGATGCAGCGCCAGGCTCCCCCGCCGGCGGTGGCGCACGGCGCAGGCGCCCTGCCCGCAGCGCGCTGCAGAGGGGCGGCCACTGCCCTCCGTCGGGGACGCGGCGACCCCCCCCCCCGGTCCCCCGGGTAACGTGCGCGCTCCCGGCCGCCGCGCCCGGCACCTGCGGGGCAACGCACAGCCCAGGAGCGCGCCGGGGAGAGCGGGAGGTTCGGGGTGGTCCCCGCTCGCACGGTGCGGGCTGCACTGGCAGCGGTACGACTGCAGTGCGCCTTCTGTCCCGCGGCCCGGCTCGGTGCAGCACACCGGGCAGGCCTGCCCCTGTCATTTTCGGTTCAAGGTGTCCACAGGGTCGCTCAGGTGACTCGGGTATCTACACCTCGGGGGCCTGTGACGCCAGGTGTGCCCTGTACCCCTCACACACCTACTCGGGCATCAGCATTCACGTTTTCGTCTACATCATCACATGTTTCCTGCACGGTGTAGAGGGACTAGTGTGACCTTGAGGGTGTTTGACCTCATGCTATTTTAGTGTCTTTGCTTTCCCTGCCCAGCAGTGGCAATCTTGTGACTTGTGATTTACTCCCAGACCACTGAGACCTCCAAGTGTAAAAATACATTTTTTGAATGAAACGTATTAAATATCAAGTGGACATAAAATACGGGTGAACTGTGCTGCAGTGTGTCAGGTGTGTAGCTGAAACACCAACTGAATTTTGCCCTGCACATGAAGGTTATTCCTATAGACATACTGCCAGTCACAGATGATTGTCCTTAAAGCAAAAACAGGTCACGTAATGGTCCCTCCCTACACCTAAAATTAGTACAGGACACAGGCCCTCCACTGTGAAACACCAACGGAGAATGAAGAGCTACTGTCTTTAACTGCCTCCAGAAAGGGATACTGTGTTAGGAAATTGCTGTATGAGATGTAACACGACATTCTCTCCCCTTTTTGGCTGGGACCAAAACATTATGTTAAGATATATAGGAGCAAGCCACAGGAAAACATGTACATGAAGTTGGGGAAATGAAGAAAGTGTTTGAGAACAGCGAACAAGTAAAATTTGCTTCCTAAAAACCAGCTACCAATGTTCCAAAGGGGATCAAAACACTTGACATTTTCCTCATATCCTAAAGCATAAACAGTTGCTGTAATTGCCAGCCCAAAAGCAACTGCCCTGAAGAAGGCAGGAAGGAAAGCAGGCTACATACATTTACTGCTAGAACTGTAGTGCTTCCAAAATTGAAATTCTTCAAGACCCCCTAACTTATTGAATTATGTTTAAACTAAAAACCAGAAGGCTGCTGCACAGATTTGCAGGGACCTTCACAACACTTGTTGGCAGTTCTATTCAGCTGGCTGCTTTATAAAATTCCCTTGTTAATTCATACCTCTCTTGGCATGTGGAATCCTTACTGCTACTGTCCCCAGGTGGGAATGGTTGTCCCTCACTCCATCCCTGACACAGGAACTGACTGCACACCCAACCAGCCCAATGTAGAACGGGATCAGTCCTACAGACCTGTTTTTCTCTGCAATTGCAGCGTAACTGGGAGCAGACACATGGGCAGTTACCGTATCTCAGCTTAAGGGTGGCAACTTTTTTCCTGATCCCAACAAAAACAAGACCACCTTTAACTGCATGCTTACATTACCTTGTGGTAGGATAGCTAGCATCCTTCCACTGGCTCTCCAATGGAATGCTGTTGTTTCAAGTATTTTGCCCAATTTTAGGCACTAAACTTCTGTAATAACTAACACAATATTAAATGAAAACATTAAGTTTTAGTCTAGAAAATTAAAGATTTGAAGGGATATTCAATTCTGGAACAGGTAACAGCAAAGGAAACATATCACAGTTGCTGAGAAACAAGAAAGGATCTATAATCAATAACTGCAGTAAGGGAAATTCACTTTAGACTTGAGGTGGACATTTCCTAGGATGAAGTTAGACAAGCATCAGGCTGCACTGTCAGACTCACTTGCCCATTGCTGGAAGCTTTTAGGAAAAGTTAAGTATCTGTGAGGAACAGTCTCAGTAGAGCTGATTCTGACTTAGAGCAAGAACAAGGCATGGCCTGGACACCTTTCTGAACTTCTTTCCAATATATTTTTTATTAAATATTTCCCTAATATTTCACTGTAAATACTGCACAACTGTGCCAAGGGTAGAAGTGGATTAGACTGTCCTGAACAGAAGAAGCAGGTCAGGAAAATACTGTTGGGATACGATCCAAATCACTGACAAGTCAGGTGCAGTGTAGACCAGTAGTATATAACAACAACAAATGTCATCCATCTCAAATAATGCTGGAGAAAATGTAAAAATGGAGAAATGTTAAAGACTGTCCAAGTCAATTGACAGGGTTTATGTAGAGGGACAGATTCACTTCTATGTGTGCAAGTTTCCCTGATCTTGTAACTGTCCAGCAGAAATGGATGAAAACACTTTCCAAACTTTAATTGTTTAAAGGTATAGTTTCAAGCTAATAAATATGCTGCTTTATCAAACCCATTTCAGACTTTTGTACTGGTGAATCTCACATGAGCTGATTTCTGCACTGCAAAATACCACCTTTTTCATATTGTTTTTGTTTATACTTGTTTAATTTTGGAATGAGCTTTTCAAAAAGTTTTACAGACCCTCTTTAGTTTTGATTTTGTAATTCTCCAGCTCTTCTACAATGTAAACTTTGGTGCAATCAAACTCAACTTTTCCTCTTCCTTTTACTCTAAATTCCTAAACAAACTCTGTGAGTCAGTTCAGTTTTCAGTCTTAGCTTGCAAGACAACAATCCAGGTAGAGATGCAGTACTGACAAAATCAAGGATGCTTCCAGTTCTTTCAATATTAATTTACTCAGTATTTCTGTCTTCCTTTCTGAACAGGATATACTTCACTGTAAAATACTTCACTGTAAAACAGAAATCTGCTGGGAAAAGGACAACAAACACATAGCATATTGAAGAATCCAGGACACGAATGGACTCAGAACAGTGAACAAGTCTGCTGTACTGACTCACTGCACATCACACATTTGCATGGCAAACACTTCATGGATTATTCGATACCTGCCTACACTTCAGACACCAAGCTTTCTATTACCTCTATTTATTTCTTTAGAAAACACAGAGAGCCAGGCTGCAATTTTCTATGAGTCAGCTTCAACAAACTAACAAGTACCTTGTGATTAAGATACTATGCCACAGGATCGAAAGTGCTGTGCTCCAGCCCTTACTGTTTCAAAACCAATGGCACTGGAAAACAAAACAAAACCAACCCAAATCAAAACGCCCCACCCTTTCAGGTATGTTATAATCAGGCAACCTGGCCTGAAACTTTTAGGAACATATCACAGAATCATAGAACATAGAATAGCTAGGGTTGGAAAGGACCTTAAGATCATCTAGTTCCAACCCCTTTGCCATGGGTGGGGACACCTCACACTAAACCATGTCACCCAAGGCTCTACCCAACCTGGCCTTGAACACCACCAGGGATGGAGCAGTCACAACTTCCCTGGGTCACCCACGCCAGTGCCTCACCACCCTTACAGTAAAGAATTTTGAGGATTAGCTCTTCCTCCCTCATTCCATGGGGCTCACATATTCCTGGTCTGAGGACAAGCAAAAAAACCCAAAAAACATCAAACAGGTGCAGTCCACATGTATATCCATCACCCAAGAACCAAACAGATATTACAGAGCACCAGGAGTGTTACTCTAATTCAAAGCCAGGCAGCTACAAAGCTTTGGTCACATTTTGGAGAGAAGTGGTAATGAGAAGCATCTACACATCTCAAATTACATAAACTGTACTACACAATGCAAAAGTGTAATGAAACAGACTTCTGGCACAGCTGCCTTCAGACTTATGTTCAAGGGGTTGCTGGCACTCAGCCGTTCCTGTTTTTATTTCCATTCAGGTTACTTCTATGGTTATCCTGTTTCTATATTACAGGACAATCACACTAGATTTTATTCAAATTTTTCCCTTAAAAATAAAGCAATACTGTATGGCTTAATACACTAACATAAAAATATTAAGCACATTCCTTGCAAAAAAAAAAAAAAAATATCCTGTTGATTTGGTTTAGGTATATTCACATTTTATACATATTAAAAAAAAAAAGTGCCAACTCCAGAAGTCCAGTATTTCTTCCCAATTTCTTTTCAGAACTGGGAAAAAAAACCACACTTTTTTGGTCTCTGCAGGTCTCTTCAGTAGACGTGTTTAAAATACACTTTAATGCTCTTTTCCCCTTACTTTAAATTGCAGGGCTAGAAGACCAACAGTCAAACGTAAGTATATAATAACAAATTACAGATGTATAAATCAAATGGGACAAAACAGCTCTAAAACTGTGTAGAATTCTTATCTGGAAAATGCAATGCTAGAGTATTTAAAAAGGACCCAAAGGGCTCTAGTATTGTCAGTGTGATCACAGGAAAATTCAGCCTTGCTATGACAACAGCTAGCTAGCATGAGAATTCTGCTTTCCCTGAACACTAACACTTCTGAGAGAGGGGGCCTGACTGCAGATGACAGAGAAAGTGAAGGGCTTAAATATAGTCATACACCTAAATCATTACCAGATGGAAGCCAGGAAAGATTATATTGAGACCATCAGCTCCTTCCCTCCCCACCCACCTCCTGGTGCTGTTATGCTTTCTGTGACACTTAAACAAAACCTGTAGATTTAATGAAGGAAAGTCCTGCTCCCCTGCAAAGAGTTGAGGCTATCTCCCCTTCACTTTCATCAAGGGAGTAAAAGATAAAGACAGTCTGCCTAAGTAGGAACTTAGCTTTGGCAGTCTGAATGGCCCTCCAGAGGAACTTTCTTTCACTTCATTGTTGACAAATGGGGCATAGATATATCTCCTGGTGCAAGGGCCAAGAGGAGTGTCCAGGCAAGGCAGTAAGAATGCTATCTGGGTAAAGCTGTCTGGACTAGGACATGACTTGTATATCTACACAATAGCCAGGACTAGAGAATAACAGTCAGAAGAGGACATAGGTGTAGTCTGGTCTTACCAGCCTGCCAATCCCTGTGGCCAGATTTTGCAGTGGCCAAAGTGGTTTCTGCAGTTATCCTCGGGCAGTTCTGAGATGAGGTTAGAGATTGCAGTTGCTGTCTTTCATCCCAACTGACAAAAAGCACACAGCAGTCACAAAACAGTGAGAATATTTTCCTTCTAAATCTTTCCCTGCCAGTACTTTTGTTTCTCTGTGTCCAACTAGACAATTACAAAAAAATTGCAGGTGCATTTACTCTCCACAGCTTTAACTGAACCCTGGCAGAGCTGTTGGTGCCCTTCTTTTATAGGGGACAAAAACCTTCAGTGCCTTCAGTTCAGTTTTAAACCTAGTCCTTAATTATTGTTTAGGAGTACAAGCCAGTGAAGATGAAGTAGGTGTTGGAGGTGAATCATCTTTTTTTTCATGGCAGTTTCTATTCTAAAGTGATTTTGTGAAAAATAAAAGGCCAGGTTATGGATTTAAACTATCAGGTATGTATAAAACCTTATTATTCAGTTACAGTCTCCTTTGACCCTACCCACTGTATCTCGTACCTAAGTATTTGGCTCAGTGTATTGCTGCTTATCTTTATCAAACTTAAATATACAAAATGTAATTGGAAAACATGAAAGTTCACAACCCACAGATGATTGAGAAATACTGTTCATCATCATAAAAAAAAAAAATAATTGCAACAAGTGGCAGAGTATTTGGTACAGAAAACAATGGCTTTGCTCCTGACTGCTCCCCCATAGACAATTACCCTCATATGTGTTTACATACTGTTTTTGCTTGGCTGTCTTCAATTTTTTCAACTTGGCATTTTTATGTGGTCTTACATAATGCCAAACAGGAGGGAACTGACAGTTTCAAAACCAGCATTTTGAAAGACAATGACAGAAAGGCTGACAATTACAAAATCATCTCTTCGTCATTCATCACTGCTACATCTGAAGAGGAGAAACAGGTTCTCCTATCAATACGCAGCTGTATGGTGATTTTTCACTTGCCTTGGTCTGTATTTCTAGATTTCACATGCTGACATTAAATCCTCATGGATATTAATGATTAGGAACCAGGTAACAACAGGGAACCAGACTTTCTACACTTGTATGGAGAAGGGATAAAAAAGACTTCTCTCTGAACTGTTTTAGCTAAACACGTATACCTCCAAAGCAGACAAGCCTGGCTTATTCTTCTAGTGCAGAAGGAAACACAGTGTCTGTCAGAGGCTAGAGAGGACACAGAATTTCTATGTTCCTTCTTCCAAACTAGTCCACAGATGGGAATCAGTGTAAAACAGAAACAGACCACACCTTTGGTACTTCTCCTTGACCGTCTTCAGTAGCAGGGGAATGTATGTCTGAATGAGCATTTAAGCATAGGGTTAAGTCTAACCACCACAACTAATCTGGAGTTAAAGTTTTAGAACTTGAACAATATGACTTTGCTTTTGGATAGATAAGCCAAAATTTGTTTAGGTTTTTGATGCTGAGAATAACATTTAATATGTCCTTGGGAGACTAAGCTGAAACCACAGACAATAAAACTCAAACGCTAACCTTATTTTTTAAAAATATCCTTTTATCCATGTTTGCAAAGAATGAGAGTTTTGTGTGGGAAGGGGCTGTGCTATAAATGACAAATCTGTTCCTAAAGGCTCCCACTACCTAGTAACAAAGAAGGGAAACAACCAAACATTATACTAACATTGGGTTGGTTTGCCATAGTTACATTCTCTGATATTTCTGGGACTAGTGACCTTTCAGAGTAAATACTACAGTGAATAGTCTGTTCTTTGCAATGCATTTAGTTTCGTTCAAGAGGCCAGTTTAGAGGTTTCAGATCTTCACAAGGTCAATACAAACTATGTACACACAAACCAAAAGAAAAACAGAACTAAAATCATAGACTTTTGTTTTCTCATTACAGACATTGAAGAAAAAACCTCAAACCAAAAGAAAAGCAATAGGAAGTAAGTTCCAGGGTCTCTCCTGCATAGAAAGCAACTCGCATTTCACTGCAGGAATCTTTGTGTCACCAAAATACTTGTTTTCTTGTACTAAAACATAACTAATACAAAACCACAGTTGGTCTAATGGGAATTTAAGATGCAAAGAGACCACCTGGGTCACAAAACAAGTTCCTTGAATCAATGATTAGCCTGCAAGGATCTAAAAAACATACATGCCAAGTACCATGGAGCACAAAAGTTTGTATTATTTTGTAACATATGACTGGACACCTGGGGATCAAAACATTATTTTGACATTCACATATAAAGTCCTAACTATCCACATTATTGTTGTTTTTAATCCAGAATGGCAAATCAGATTCCTTGGTCTCATGAACAGTGCTAACCTGATGTGTTGTATTTGTCCTTCATTGTGACATGGAAGTCAGAGAAAGGAACTACAGTTACTTTTGGTGCCAGTAATTTCACATATGGGAAGAGAAACCAAAAGCATTGTGCATCTCCTGTAAAACAGGAGACAAAGATACCTTTTTTTGTTTATAAAACTTCTGTTTATCCACTGAAGAAAGAACTGATATGGCTAAGACATGGACTTCTCATACTTTTTGCCTGGCTCCTCTAGAATTAGCAAGAACCAATTTATTTGCTTTTTCTCCATTTATGAAATTTACTTAAAATATCAAAGGAGACATGGATCTTATCTTCATTGCACTTCCTCTTAGAAGAAAGGAAAATTAAAAAGGAAAAGCACACAAGCCAGAAAGGGAGGTACAGCTACTGCATCATATGCAGATACAAGGAAAACACTGCCACAGTAGTTACGAGGCATGCACATAGGAGAATCCCCACCATGATCTAGTCTCCATTCACAGGCACAACTGTAACCTAGTATAAACTGGAATTGGTATGTCTGACCTAAAATCCTAACCCAAGAAAAGTTGTCTGATTTATGACGTCCTTACTATTGCCAGTTTCCATACCTTAAATCCTCCCAGAACATATAAACAATACATATATAAACCAGGTCATTTTTAGAGCAGATTAATTCCCACATTCTGAGGCAAACAGCACTGGATTGACACATCATGACTTTTTCCACTGCATTAATAAAGACTACATAATCAATGAAAACACTAAAAAATAAAGATCCCTTTCCCGCAGAGGAACCCCAGCTTCAGTGAACTAGACAGCCTGTGGCTGAAAAAGAAAAAGCAAACAAAAAGAACCCAAACCACTGTTTCTCCCCTATTCACCAACCAAGTTTAAGTTTGATTATAAGCAGATTGATTTCAGTCACAGCACAGACTGGCATAAGGAAAAAGGAAGAAGACAACATAGTTCTGAATTTAAATACTTTGCACTTCTCTGTCGCCACAGATCTTCAGACATTTTGCAAACTGTGAATCACTGCTCTTCTCACCTCCCATCTAAAGAAACAAAAGCAACAATGCTAAACCAAAAAGTAGTGAGCCAGCTGAGAAAGGACTTGCAGACAGGTTTCACCTACAAAATGAAATCCATATTTGGATCATTTTGACCCAAAATGGTAATTACAATACCCATGCCCCTGAACTGGAAAATTTAGTTGCAGTATTCCAGTCATTTGGAGATTTTTAACTCATTTGTCTAGGCAGGGTCAGTGCTGAAATGGAAATCTGAGATTTCTGTTAGAAAAAAATCAGAATATCTTGATTTTCTTAAAAAGAATTCCCGTTTTTCTCAGCCAGTAACAGACCCAAGAAACAACTTCAGATCCCCAGAAGTTGTATTCTCAACAAAATCAGATATTAATCTAGCAATTAGCAGTCAAACTTACATTTCACCAGATAGAATATGCTGTCTTCCATTTGATGTGTCAGGGCCCTGAAAAGACTCCTCCTTCATGCTGCTTATAATAATCAGGATCCATTTAGGTTTAAAAAGCAAACAAACAAACAAACCCCTTGCCTGCAGTTTCAGCAAATTAACTCATCAGTATTAGCTTCCTTTGCTGAAGCTCCTTGAGCCTCTTGGAAACGTACATTTTCATTTCACTGTCATTTTGCTGTTCTGCTTGTAAAATTCAGTGAAAAGCTACTGATCTTTGCAGGTACATCCACATAAGTTGTGTCATTTGGCTGTTACCACCGTGATCAAGGTTCTAGGCACACAGGTTACTGACCTCAAAACACGCTGTTTGAAGACCTTGTCTGACATAATTTGTGATTTAAACCATGACAGTGTTATTCTCCATGTCAACAGTAGTTTCATCTGTTGTCTACTATATTTACAGCTGAACAAAATAAAGAGAATAAAAACTACTACTCAATGCAGTTTTCTTAAGACATTCTCCTGTCACAGTACTAGAATTAATTTCAGCTATACTAGTAAGTAGCCTGCTTTTTAAGGGTAAGGATGTTGATGTATGTACAATGAAAAATTAATAATTTCTAATGTTACTTCAACTCCCAATTTACAAATCATACTTAAGAAACATGAACATCTCACTAAAATGTGCCAGACTTTCCTCTTCCTTACTTCAACTGAAAATCATTCAGAACTATTACAATAAAATTGTGTTCCATATTTTCATTGCATGATGAATGTTCAACATGGAGGTAACATCTGACTTCCTCAGGGAAGAGTGCATGTATAGCCAAATGAACTACATTCCCAGCAACCAGTGACACTGACCTTTGATGTGAGTTAATGATACAGAGGAAGCAACAAAGCAAACTGGAGGGGAAAGGGGAAGATGAGCAACAAACTTGCCTGGTAAGAGGCTAGAAATCCCAAGTTTGTGATCTGGGTTCTCTTCCCATCATAGGCAGGCATTGGCACTAGTTGTGGTTTCATCAGATCAACCCTACATTATGATACTACCTTGCAAACTGCAGCCAAGGAGGAGGGGGGAGGGCAGGGAGAGAAACAGGAACACAACAGAGAGAGAGGGTTGAAGCCAACAACACTATCTCCACCCCAAGTGAAGATGGCACAGATCTTCATATCATCCCCCTATCAATGTTCTCAACAATATACATCAAACAATTTACTAAGAATTCTGAGATGGAAAGTTTATTCATACGATGTTCCTGTGATGAGGCTTTAATAAATCACAGCTCCTGGATGGAAAGAAATACATACCACATTAAATCTTCCTTGTCTAAGTTCACTGTGGAGTTTCCTGATGACCATGGCTGCTTCAGATCCCCAGTACCTAGCTACACCATCCACCTAAAACTGGAACAAAAGAGTCAGATAAAAAAATTTGACATGTATAACACATCCTCAAGAAAGAACTCAGGGGTAATTTGCAGGGTATAGCAACATTTGTTATACATAAAATCAAGCCTCATGTTTATGTGTAACAGCAATAGCCATCTGATTAAAACAATAATAAAACTACAGCATCTACTTCTGAGTCATTTATCTTGGATAATTAATTTGCCAAGAGCATGAGTCACTCAGAAATGAGTTAGAGAATGACTCGTTTTAACTTTTATTAACATTATCCTTAAAATGAAAGGGTTCCTTCCTTACCCTTAAATTGTTGCACATTTTAGTGCTTTTCACAATGCCAAAATCTGCTTTATTTAGAATAGCTGGATTAATTGTTGAAATAATTATCTTCTTTTTATTATGCCAATCACTAAGAGATCTTATGGTGCTTTATAAATGTGTGTGTATTCTTTAGAGCAACCACATTTACGATAATGTAGTAGTATGACAGTACCTGGTAACATGACACAAAAGCACCTGACTGGAACTGCAGTTAGAACCTATTCTCTGTTGAAATAGCAAAGGGAAATTCAGATGCACAAAACTGAATTACAAACAATGGAATTTTGCTGTTTACATCTCAGTTTTTGCACAGTAGGATTTATTTTGACTGCAGAAGGTCAGATCAGACAGTGCTTGGTAACTTCAGTGGAAACCTTTCTATTTCTTCAGATATCAGCTGTGAGCAAACTTTCATTAAGGAAGCCTGGCATGTTTCAAAACCTGCTTTTCCTTGGCTGCAGCATGTTGTGACATCAGGAAAGGCAGCACAAAATTGAGAAATGTATGTGGAACTATGTTTGGAAATACTCTAACTCTGCAAGTCTGGATATGCCCAAAGGCTTGCAGTCCATTCAGCTGCCTGCAGTTTAACTCCTTGCTGAAGAATTGCCAAAGGTGCAACTTCACAAGCAATTCAGACAATCTAAGACTGCCTAACAGAAGAGAAGCAGCCCTGCCCTTCTGTCCCACCAGCATTTCTGCCTGTTGTTCTGCTGTTCCAGCACCTGTTTGGCCACATAGGTCTACTTGCTGATTTGGCTGAAACTACTGGTATAAAATGTGATTAAAAAATTAGCTGCTCATTAATCCACTCTTTAGAAGCAACTGAGACTTTATGAGTTTTCATCATCCTTCACTTGTTGCTCCACTTTCAAGGAAGAAGACTGTGTTTCTCTTCAAGGATTGAAAAGAGCAGTGTAGTCTGACTGCATGGCACAAATACAGGCACTTCTTTTCAGGAGTGTGACTTCATTCTGTGCAGGGCAGATGTCTAGTGTGTATTAAGCTCTCTGCATTCTGTTTTTCCTATAGGTTGGGCAATGCCAAGACTGAAATACTAATAAAATACAAGCTTAAAAAAAGAAAGATGTTAATTCCTTGCTCTTTTATCATTCTGTAGGATAACTGTGTTACCCAATATTAGATATTCATTTTGATAACTAAACTAATAGGATAGTGAAGAAAGCTAAGGCTTCATTCCTGACTTCCTCCAGGGGGTAGTTTAGTTACAGTTCTGGTGCTTACCTGTACCATGCAGCATAACTGCCCTTCCAGAACAAAAATTTAACTTAGACCTGAAACTGTTCTGAGCATTTCTCGCCACTGGCTCTACAGGAAGCCTAAGGTAAAAAAATCTGAAGGTCAGTGGTATGACTGTCCCACTTCAATCGCATCCTCACATGAGTTCAAGAAGCTCCAAGTGTCCAAAGCCATAATGACATTCCAAGGAACAGTAGGTACATAATGTCAGTGAACAGCACTAGTTTCTGAGGTCAAGGCAGACAGTTGACACTTGCCAAGAACAAAAGATCAGTCTTGGGTGTCAGAGCCAGAAAGATGAGTAATACTACACTGAAATACTGTAATGTATCCTGCTTCTTGAATTCAACCCATGTTACATGAGCAGCAAGCTTCTTGCTCTTGAGCTACATCTTTTTCAGGCACCTTGTATTTCTGACATGCAGAACTGTCCAGTCTTCCGGCTTCTACACAGAACTTATGTCTGTGTATCTATATATATCGCACATAAACACACACACCTCCCTTGAGTGGAAATCTTTCAGTTTCTTCAGCTATTAGCTATATATCTCATACCTATTAGATAGACCTTAGTATCTTGTCCAGTTTTCCTATTTCAGACTTTCTAGATACTTACTGACTTAATGTTCCAATTTATTTAGATTGTTTTTAGTAAGATGACACAGCAAAAGTTGAGAATGCAATGATCACTAGAATGTCTTGTTAAATTTTTCTGGAGCTGTTCTGAGGGGTCTGGAACCATTAGACAGCTATTTACAACCTATATTTTATGTAACACTATAAAAAAAGAAACTGTGTTCTCAAAACAAAGTAATCCTAACAGTTAAAGCTTGAATTTCTTATGCCATGGAGAATTTCCATAAGCAGCCTGGAACTGAAATAAAACTGAAACACACTTTTCATTTTAGGAAAGTCTGCCCTGAGATTTTACCTTTAAATCATGGTTGCCCATCTTGGTATTTATATAGTTCTGTGGATGACTGAAAAGGGATCAGCAACACATGGAGAGAAATAAAGTTTTACTAATAAACTCTGGAACACACCCCCAGCCCTTAACCTAGAGGTTACAAGCTAACATGCTCTGCAAAGAAAATAATTAACATCATGTATAGCAAAAAGGGGCAATAGGTCTAGGCCTAGAGTTGGAGCTAAAAACACATTATGCAAATATTTGCAGAAATTAAGCACTGGTTTAGGAAACCAAACAAAATTTGGATACATACTTCCAACACCCTTCATGAAATATAAGCAACATAAAAAAAAATAAATAATCTTAAGTAGTCAATGTTTCTGGACTGAATGTATCCTTCTGTATCAACAATACTTCTCCATTTTTATGTCCAAAGGATACAAAGACTTGAAATCCATAGGAAAACTGAGATATAAGACTCTGGCTATGTGTAATCAGTGACAAAACTCATACTCACTTATATAAATACGGGATTCAATTCAGTATTCCAGCTGTAGAGCCATTTCTAACAGTATGTCCTGAGACATCAGTATAATGTTGACTAGGAGGGAAGAATATTTTACACACCTAGCCAATACCAACCATCAGTCTTCCTGCTTGTGGATTTTCTGTTAAGGTTTCCAGTTATGCGATTATCAGTAGATCAAAAATGCCTGGTTTACATGATTCAGCATGATCACAAACCAAAGTGAGACAGAGTACTGGGTCTGGTTATAATGGAGTTAACTTTCTGGGGCACATCATAAATGCCCCAGAAACTGTATTTAGAAATCAGTTGTATGTAAAAGTGATCTGTGCAGAGTGGTTTAAAAAAATAAGACAGCATACAATTTAAAAGAAATCATCTATTCTCACATAAATATGCTTTCACAAAAGAATCCTTTGACTGTATATTTTTAAACAATAGTTACACTATTCACAACACGTATCTTAAAACACCTGATAACTAACTACATTATTTGCTACATGACTATGAACCAGACAGATAGGTGATACATTTGTAAGACAAATGCTTGTGTCACAAGCTGAAAACAGTTCTTACCATTTTCTCCAACAGAGGAAACTTTTACTGTTACATTGACTAACATGATACTGTGTTGTTTAGCCTGATCAGCTGACTTATGTCTATGCTTCAGCATCTTTCAGCAACAAAAAAACCAAAATACTTAGCCATCACTAGTGGTCTTACAGCACTGGTTGCTGGAGTTGCAGAAAGACCCTAGAAAAGGCAGAAAAATAGAAGTAATTGTTTTTTTTGTTGTTTTTTTTTTTCCTCCATTTAATAAAGCTTCAGTTTCCTTTGGAATAAAACACACAAAATCATATATATACACACACATACCCAAAATATTTCTCAGTTATTATTAATCTTGACAGTCTAATAAGTTTTACTCCAAATTGACAGTTCAAATGAGTAGGATGTATCTCAGAAACATTTAAGAAACATATTTTATCATAATTTATGCTGTGATCATGGTTAAAAACCCCTGAGGTTAAGAATCCCACTATATTAGGAAAACATGAGTACAGCTGCTGTAATGAAAAGCCCTAGTGATTCTGTCTTGAAAAGTTTCCCGTTCATAATAATAAAAGATTTAAATAATGGGTGGGTCAAAAAATATACATTAATACTGAAAAAAACACCCTAACTGCATTACTAATTCCTTGGAATATTGAAGCCATTTACTTGCTTTAGTCACCAGAGCCAGTATAGAACACTATCACTAAGACACATTGTTACACATGCTTATTAAAGAGCTGTTCAAGTTCAAATAATCTGAAAACCTAAAAACTCATACACTTGGTAAGCATAATGATTTAAGGCACATGATTATGTCTATAGGTATGTTTTAAACCTGTTGATGAGAGGTAGAAGGTTCTGATTTCAAACTCACTTTCAAAACGATTATTTATATTACTGCATTACAGAGAGTAATTGATTTGGAAAATTTTTAGTTTGATTCCAAGATTAAAAGTTTGGTTACAGCAGAAATGTTTTCTTTAGCTCATCAGAGAATTATGCAATAATTAAAAGAGGGACAGAACAAATAACCAGAAGGTTGAAAGAGAATCCAGACAGAACAGCAATAACTTTTGTCTCATTTGTACTCTCTCCAAAGACTAAGCCTTCAGTTATTCAAACTGAACAAAATACAAGTCAGTAAATTTATTTCAGATCTTCCCTGCGTAAGACAATATAGCTCCTGCTCAATACTATAGTATATGAATAATATTATGCTTGCCATGCACAGGTTTTCAAATAAAAACAGTACGCTGGGCACATGAAGCACATTTTGATGACACAAAACACTGGCAAGGGACCAGGAGGCCTCACAGCATCTACAAGAAGGGCACATGTGGCAATACCTAAACAAGCCTTCTTAACGCAACCAAATCTCCAGCTGTGAGCTCCCTGTCTCTTCTCTCAGTGAACAACTTTTTAAACAACCATAACCTTACTTTTTGAAGCAACCAGCCCTGGTCCTGGGAAGCAACCAGAAGCCAGGAATCAAGCCCCAGGTGCAGCATCAGACACTCCGGCTTGCCTCCAGCTTGCCTATCAACAATCCCATCCTTCCTCTCCAGGCTCCTACCTGCATATCCCACACTGGATTGTGCTCCTGAAGCCAGTGGGTCTACGATTCCTCATCAAACCTTTTTGTCAGTGGGTCTGTGATTCATTTTTCAAACTGTATTTTGTGCTCCCAGATGGCCTCACAACCATCCACAAACTCCTTCCAGTAAAGATCTCCCCTCACCCGAAATCCCACAATTACTCAGTTAACCAAATCAGACACAAAATAGCAGCAGCATTTGTGGCTGGCAGAAAGCCCCTACCCCCCTACTGGGGAAAGCTGCCCTTCACCACCCAGCCCCACTGCCATCCTCCAGCCCTGCTGCCATCACCTG